TACCGCCGTCTACGGTCTTTATCAATGCCGTGACGATCTGCGATCATCGGACTGCTCAAAATGTATCCAAAACACCGTAGATCAAATCACTCTCCTTTGTCCTTACTCTTACGGTGCTTCTCTCCAGCTCGAAGGTTGTTTCTTACGTTACGAGACCAATGATTTTCTTGGGAAGCAAGACACGAGTCTTAGGTACAAAATTTGTAGTTCCAAGAGTGTTGAGAATGATTATGATTTCTTTAAACGAAGAGACGATGTTTTTTCGGATCTTGAATCGACTCAACTCGGGTTTAAAGTTAGCCGGTCTGGTTTAGTCGAAGGTTATGCTCAGTGTGTTGGTGACTTGAGTCATAGTGACTGTACGGATTGTCTTGCGGAATCTGTTGGGAAGTTAAAGAATCTTTGTGGCTCGGCGGTTGCAGCTGAGGTTTACTTGGCTCAGTGCTATGCTCGTTATTGGGGTTCTGGTTACTATGACTTCTCTTCAGGTCGGTCCATAGATTCAACTCTTCATTTCATTTATTAATTATTACTCTAGTTACGTAACATTAGAGTTCATTAATTAGTAACATGATTATATTATTTAAACCTTATTAAGATTTTTTAGAATTGTGTGAGAATTTGACCTTGTTTAAATTTCCGCCGCTTATACTTTAGAAAAATCACGAGACTTAATGCTTCTTGGTAGCACGAGAAAGCTGAAGTAATCATAAAATTTTCCTATCTTTTTTTTCCCCCCTGCAAAGACACCATTAAGAATTGAATAAAATACTATTCTTTTGAATAATTCGTTGGAAAATTCGAGTATCATGATTATAATATGATTGGTCAGAAGAGAATGTTATTTGTAATATAATATTCTTTTCTTTATAGGTATAGCCACCCATATCCCCATTTCCACTTTTATATATATTCTTTATAGCTTGATCAATATCACACGGTCCAAAAGTCTAGTACATCATGGAAAATATAGTTCTTAGCTTGATACTATGGTCTTATCTATTGCACTTTGTCGCATACTATAAGATCTTTTTGAATTTAATCTTTACTTTCGTAACGAAGATCCAACAAACGGAGATCATGTGGGGAAATCAATTGCGATCATTGTAGGAGTAATTGCTGGATTCGCAATCCTTGTTGTTCTCCTTTCCCTCTGCAGAAACTCCATGCGTAAGTATATATTTACTACTTGGCTTCATTAAATTACCCACATTTAAATATTCGAATTATCATGTCTTTTAGAATGATCATAATTAATCTCATATTTTTATTATGCTGATTTGCAGATTGATATAAAGAAGACATGATTCAAGATAAAGATTCTAGGGGACCTTTTTTGTTTGAATTTTCTTGTTCCCTTTTATTTTTGTAGGAACACATCCATTACCGTTCCTTAATTGATTGTTTTTGGTTTATCAGAAGGAAAATTCGAAATCACTATATAATATATGATTTAACTTTGAGGTATAATTAAATATTTGCATAGTGACCCGTATTGTCTGCCTTAAAAATATGATAATTAACTTTATTCCATTAAATACTGTGTTAGGCTTACACCCACTTTCCTTAGCAGGCGCAATTATTCGATACTCATACTTAGATCGTAAAGTATTATAATATTTCAAATGTATATTAATTTGAAAGAACAACGTGATTCGATTTGAGCATCTTTAAGACTTCAGAGGTTCGTTCAATATTTGGTTCGTGTTGGGACGATCCGGGTCTACCCGGTTTTCATGGATCGCACCACATATTCCGTTGGGCCATTACATGGGCCGACCTCTGGCCTACTAGGCTCCTACCGGGTTAGCTTGAAGTCTAATAACCTACTACCGTAACATCATTGTGTACTAAAACATTTTTCATGCAACTCAAAATAGTGTGATATAATAATGTGATTTAATATCATTTGATAGTTTATTAGTAATTTAAACTACAATAATTTCAGTTAATTTGATGAAGGAAACAAAGATAATAATAGTTTCACTGATTTTACAAAATATTACTTATACAAAGAAAAATTATATCATGTTTTATCAAATTTCTAATTTAATGATTTATTAAGTCTTTACAGATTGTATGATATGTTGGGCCTGGATATGTTATTATATCAAGTGTAATATTGAGATTATGATTTTTCTTTGAAAAAGTTCAATTATTCACATCAACAAGAATTTAGGGCCTGACTGTTTGAAAAGGTAGAGTAATTGAG